CAACAGCTGGAATCAAATTTTGAAATATGAAGATAACACCACTTTAATAGCCAAAAGCAAAAAAAGACTTATAATAGCTTATAATGAAAATTGAATCGTGAAAATTTCAGATTAATATTAAATGTTGAGGAAAGGGTAATGTCAAACTGTTTAGCGAATTTAATGTCTAATCATGAAAATATGAAGATGGTAGTTTTATCTTCTTGGACACAAGGATAGATAAAGATGGATCGTTGGCTGGAAAAGTAAAGATGAGATTAATCCTTAGGCAATGACAGACAAGATAATGAAGGAAAAAGACATTTTAATGACATCAAAAATCAGAATAGTTAATGCAATAGTTTTTCCAGAGGTAATATAAAGCTGTAAAAGCAGGATCCTGATAAAGAATGAATGAAAGAAGGAGAGATACCTTCAATTATGGATTCAGAGGGCACGTTGTTACTCAGTGTTTCATGGACTACAAAAAGAACCCATCATGTACTCAGTCCAGTACTAAAGAAAGATTGACTGCTCCTTGAGCCAATAGAAATTCACATACTTTGGGCATGTGATGTGAGCTGATAAGGAAAAAGTATGTTTGGCAACACTGAAGGAAATGACAAGGGAAAATAATGGATACGGTGCATGGACAGGGTCAAAAAGATTATAGGAATGTCCTTGGAAGAGTTCTAATACTGTCCATTCAATTGGAGTTGAATCTGCTCTTAACATAAAGTTGCAACTTTTGATCAAGTAAATGCTTAATTAATAGATCGAGAACATTTTAATTCACTGGATAAAGTTGATTTTAATAGAAGCAAAAATAAGCGTAGATGGCAGACACTGTCTTAAGAAAAGCATTCTTCCTTCAATCCCGCACAAATGGTACCTATTCTGAAATAGCAACTGCTAAGGCACAAATGTGCAGCACCCAAAAAGAAAAAAAAAAGTGTTTTCCTTCTAAACTATTTGGGTGGAAATGCAAATGCACAGAGATTTAATCAAAGAAAAGTCACTGGTTAACTAAGATTTCTTTAATTTACTGACAAACGTACTTATGAAATCGAATTGTCCCTTGGGAAAAGAGGAGGACATTTCAGTAGTTTGGATGACATTAGAATTAGTTTTCAAGATTAGCAGTGGTTTGATATTGTCACCATCTTCCTCTCCAGTTTCCCCACGGTCATCATAAGGATTGCTTTTAATATTAAGACTTAACGTCTGGGTTTACTTGCTGCTTCTTATCCCCACCCGCTCCTTGTGCACTGTGCCTTGTAGAGTATAAATCTGCAGGCCAGGACTGCTTGTTCTGATTGTTATGGCAGCTACTCTGGGATATTTTTGGCTGAAGAGCATGGTAAAAATGCTTTAAGTAAATTTAGAATACATTTCTGAAGGGCATATATGGTAAACCCTCAATTTACCAGACCTCAGTTTAGCAGCCTTCAGTTGCAATAGGCAAAACCCCATTTGCCATTTAGTATTTCATGGACCTAATGGACATCTTTTCCCCCATTAGTCTGGTCAATGCAGGTTTACTTTATTGATATAACATGACTGCATGCTTCAAATGCTTGTTAATTGAGGAATACTGTGAATGTGCTACAGATTATATGCATGATCTTTGTGAGTGAATAGGTGTGCATTTTGAATCTGAACCCCCAAAATAAGAAGGTTTGTATAATGCAGCGTCAAAAAGCATTTTCGAAGAAGTTATATTAAGCTTTCACTCCTTTCCAGGCACTCTAGCAATGCAAAGCAAATAGTTGCTCTGATAGTTTCTTCTAACGCAATTAAAAGGTGAAGCCAAGTTTCAAGTGGGTCTGGAGAGGCAATATTAAACACATCAGTGGTTCATTTCACTTCTCAAACATACTTTAAAAAACAACAGGATGTATCTCCATTTCAAAATAGTTCAATCCAGGCCCAGAGTCAGACTGCAATTCTACACACATGTAATTGCGAGTAAGTTCCACTGAAACGAATTCCAACTGGTCATGCGTGCCATTCATTCAGTGAAATTTCCCATTTGCCAATGGCTTGCACGGGGAATTGTTATTAAGAAAACTGAGAGGTGGGAATAGGATATCCTTAGGCTTTTTAAATTGAGCACCCCTTAAAACTTTATTTCCATCATTACAAAATCTTCCAAGTAACAT